GATTTGAACTACAATAAGAACACTGGGAAGATAATTAGGCTACAAATTTACTCAATGCGAAGCCAATTAGACGATATTAGATTTAGCCGTTAACTTGTCTTTCCATTCAGAATTTCCTGACACTACCAACGTGCATTCCTCTGGAGAAATACAGAGCATGCGCAGTTGTGAAAAAACTCTGCCTGCACGACAAAACACGCCCGTTTTATGCGAACACACACCACCTCCAATTAAGTTAACACTGGGTTAACACAGACTCAACTAACCAACATCTTATCCACCTTCGTAGTACCGTTTAACTCCAGTGTAGGCGGTCAGAGTTTGTCAACCCTGAGTTTGCCTGATAACCCTGAGTTAACTCTGGGTAGGTTGAACTCCCTTCGTAGTACAGGCCACAGGAGCAAACACTAAAACATGAACTAAAGCACAGGGCTAAGAACTAACATATGAAAACAGGAGGTCAGAGTTGAAAAAATGTGAACATATCCATTAAAGTGCCTCATACTGGACTCTAACCACATCAGAGAGAACTGTGACACTACTGACCAACAAAGACAATAAATAAACATGACATAATAACAAGAGAGAGAGACGGAAATCCAAAGTGAATACTCACAGAGGAAGAAGAAGCAGATCAAAGTGCGACTGACTTTCATGTTGAGACTGCTGCCTCTCTTCTTTCTTTTCTGGCAAACTAGGAACTTCCTCCAAACACACAGCCAGCTCTACTCTCCTCCCCTCTCCATCATCTTTGTTTGACCGCAGAGTCTGAGGTTACCTACACATTTATGTATATTATAACAGTGTGAATTATACAAAGACAATCGGGGGGGTAACTTTTTTCCCAGGCCGTTAAAGAAGCCAACATTGGAAATGATAGGGCAGCTATCAGCTAACATGGCTCAATTTAAGTAAAATAAATGTTAGCTTTAACTAGCTAATGTAAAGTAAGTAAGTAAAGTTTATTTATATAGCACTTTTTACAGATAACAATAGCAAGTGCTTCACAATAAAATGCGAAACAATACAACAAAGTGAAATGCAATTCATAAAAACATATAAATACATAGGAAAAACAAATCAGACAGCCATAACCCGTCATCTAAATAAAAGCTTGTTTGAATAGCAGAGTCTTCACATAATGTAGAAAGAGAGGCAATGCATTCCACAACCTCGGTGCCACTGCCTGAAATGTACGTTTCCCTATTCTTAAATTTACTGTGTAACCACTAATAGCCTCTGACCTGATTACCTCAGACTACAGGTCGGAGTATGAAGCCGTATCCAGTCAGAGATGTAGGGAGGAACTTGTCCGTACAAGGCTCCAAAAGTAAGGCCCAGAATTTTAAATTGATTTCTATACTGGAGCCCTGCAATGGACTGGCGACCTGTCCAGGGTGTACCCCGCCTTTCGCCCGATGTCAGCTGGGATTGGCTCCAGCCCCCTGTGACCCTGTACGCAGGATAAGCGGTTGATGATGGATGGATTCTTTACTGGACTGGTAACCAGTAAAGTGATGAACAGGTTTAATGTGCACTCTTTGGTTAATGTGAGTAAAAAGCCTTGCAGCAGAGTTCTGAACAGCCTCCTTCTTTTCTTCTATTTTTATTAAGAAATTATATTTACTTAATTATTCAGAAAACATATGTTATTGTGACTTGGCAACTGACAGATAACATGGTAAAATGCAAGCCAAGAGTGTGAGACATTAGATGCATTGACTTCATGTGGCGCTGCGCCGCATTGACTTAACGTGAGACATGCTGGACTTAAAAGAAAGCAATACCATATCACATAACATTGAAACCTCGAGGGAGTCATCCACCATCTAATGGTTGAAAATATTGCTCCAAGGCAAAACTTATTTGCAGTATTTTATTACTACTTCTTCTTCTTCTAACGTGCATATTCAACATACTGATGAGTGTCTGCACTGTCTGAATTCTAGCAGAAGTAGAACAAGAAGAACGTAGTGACGAAACGCACTCTGTAGAGCTGTTTGTCTGATTTCAGCTACTGTAGGAACATGACAATGTAACGTGGCGACCTCCCTGGAAGGAGGTGTGGTGCCTGCGGTTTTGCAGATATAAATGTCTCATTCTAAGGTAATAAAAACACAATGGTTTATTAAGTAAGTCTTTACACACCACTGAAAACATAGTTATGGATCTTATATTGCATTTCTGTCGATAGATCCTCTGAAATATTACACACTGAACCTTTATGTGAATATAATTTAATATATCTATCTAAAGAAACCTAATTCCTTGACTGGCAACTCTCTGATATCTCATAACGACATCTTGTCCTGTCTCTCCTGTAGCTATACTACTCGCTTGGATAGGGCAGGCGGGGGTTGCAGTTCATTGTAATTTGCAACCCTCACCACTAGATGTCACTAAAACTTAGACACTTAACCTTTAAGGTAAAAGTTAGAAATTAGCAAACTTGAGCATTCTTCCATAGACACATGACAGACACAATCTTTACAACACTCAGAAGGTTGTTAATGAACAATCTAGATACCCAACTTCTTAAACTACAGTGTCTCCATTAGCTCATTGTGTGATGTACAGGATTTTATTTAACCATTGGGATTGATGCAGGTAGACAAGACATTCAGCTGGCTGAACTGAGCTGAACTGTTTTATTGCTAATAATATACATCAGCAGATTATCTCACTTACTGTATGTAACCAGCACAATTCAGTCCACATAGCTAAGCCTTCTGTCCCATGTATACTTAATTCCTGTTTTTGTTATAATGATGATCAGTCACCGCTCACCTCTCCCTTTCCAAACGCACAGGAAAAGCTACGGTGGCCAACACGCTCTGTCGGCCATTGTGTTAAATAATAGGCTACCAGTGGTCCTCCATTTACACAAATTTCACTTCTCTTCTTACTTCTAATAAACCAGATGACTACTGCTACTACTTCTGCTTGTTTTTCCATTTGTGTTCAATGTAGTGATGAGACGTGCTTTGCATAGATAGTGTACTCTTGATTAAGACACTATTTATTTGTAGTTTTCACGGATATATGATATATAGGCTAGTATACTGCATAACAAGTGTTTTATAAGTGGTTTAAATGTACATGTAATTAAGATATGCATGATTGTACTTGTGTACAGGATGTGTGTGATGCAAAGAGTGCTGTTTCTAGAAAAGTAGCTTCGCAGTAGCATGCTCTTCTGCTTTCAGCTACCTGTTTTATGTGCCTGCCACTGGCAAGATCTTCAACTGTGAGTATTGAAGAGGGGAGCCAAGTGCATAAGTCTCCCCCTGATGGTACATAGCCTTTCCACCACCAAGACTCCTACATTGCGTCCCAGCGACAACACATGGAAAATATGTATCATGCGATCCCGTGTTGAATTGCATGGGGATCTTGGAGCAGCAGTAGGCCCCAGAGGCATGACATGAATGTCCACCGGTCTGTGGATATGCCCTGGCATCCATCAACCACTGCCACACCCATGGGTTAAATAGCACCCAGATGGCTTGTGGGTGAAGGTCAAGGGAGCAAACCCTGACAGAAAATTGCAATTACACCCCCAAAGGCTAGTTGGCGGTAGCGCTACAGCGTCCACAGTGTTGACTTTTTCCGGCTGAGCAGGCTAACTTCCGGTTTAGCCCTCCGCTAACGTGAATGGGGGTAAAATTGTATACATTCTACTATAGACTTTTCAAATGTTATCGACCTAATGAATCACATTCTGATAGGGAAACAAGTCATTTCGCTCAGGTTTTTATGGTCAAATATATTGATCCACCACGTTACAGAAGCTGTTTTGGCCGCTAGTAAAAGTTACTTCAAAGCACAGGCACTTCCTGTTGGCTCCGAGGCTACCCAGCCAACCACGGTCCATGTCACCTTGACGTGTGGTTACATTTTTGAGGAGGTGCATGTCAGGCTATGGCATAGGTGACGGCGTAGGGTAGGGGGCTACGCAGAGGCTACGGCGTAGATTCTACGCAGAAGTAAATTGCACTTAACTGAAGCCAATCGTATCTGTTTACCGTTCCTTTGGATTATGCCAGGGAGGCCGAGAGGGGACCGCTTCTGCCATAGCAACTTATTAGGCCCACCTTGTTTGGGAAATTCCTTTTCCTCTTCTGCGGCAAACCTTTTGAACATCAACTGAGGGGGTTGGTAAACTACACGGTAAACTATTCAACCTCACTTTATTGAACATTGCACACTCCCAAGACCCCTGAAAACCCTCATGACCGGTGCACCTAAGCATGCCAGGACTTGACCATCAGCCTGAACAAAAGCGATGGGAGACAGCCCTGAATGGACAATGTTTGGTGAAAACTGCGTTTGTTCACTACTAATTACTGGCTGCTAGGGGTGTGACGAGACACTGAGCTCACAAGACTAGACATAAGATCGGGTTCACGAGATTGACATGTGACAGATTTCTGCACCAATTTATGGTAGACATGTTTTTATTTATGTAAATTCAGGTGGCAGGTGAGAATTCATAATAAGGCAGTAATGCTCTCAGTAATTCTGTATTGCTTTCGGATATGTTGTCTCCTGGGCCCAGTTGTTCAAAAAGAATCTAATTAATCTGGATCAGAATGATCCGGATTTGAAAATCCCATGTTTTGGTATCCCAGATCACGTAATCCCTCTTACTTTTGTGCCGGTTTTTCAAAGCAACATCGGGATGGATCACCCTGATCCACATACAAGCTTTTCAGGATTACCAAATCTGGATTTCCAGTCCAGATTAAAATGCTGTTGATTATATAAAGACCAACAGGTAGAACAGCCAGCATTGGGTCGCTTTTATTTGAAGACACGGAAAATGTACAATAAAACAACAGAAACATTTCCTTCCATTTTCTATAAATCCAAGAAAAACAAACAAATATATTATATATATGTGGTGTATATGTATGTATAATATATATATATATATATATATATATATATATATATATATATATATATATATATATATATATATATATATTATTCACAGATACGCTGTGGATATTTTGAGCATGTGTTGTCCTAAAGTCCAATAGTTAAAATAAAGATCATTGAGAGTTCAGAGAGAAGCTTTTAGCTTTTAGGAGGTGATCTGAATGAGGGACTGACTGGAGCTGCAATGAGGGATGCAATTGTTACAACACAAACTGAAGGTTTGATCCAGATCAAACCCAGGATTGGATTAGGTGATCTGATCCGATTTCAAAAACCTTTTTTTTCTTTTGAACAGATTTGATCCAATCCGATAGCCGAAATCCGATCAGATTACTTTTGAAAAACTGGGCCCTGTGTTTCAGCAGGTTTTCTGCTCATGTTCAAAACCTTCTGCATATTCAAAATCTCTCCCACATATCTGTGTTCTCTGACATGTTGAGACTAAAGGCTAATATCACGAGACTAATGTCATAATTTAATTTAGTCTATTTAAACTGCTGTGCATTATTGCTCCATTGGTAGTAACATTATCTTACCTTGAGACCGTTTGGAAAATGAAATTAAGCCACAAGACTTGTGATCAGGCAGAAATATCACCAAAAAATGTTCTAAATAAACTGACCTGACTGGTCGATGGTCAGATAATCACAGACAGACAGCAGCTGAAACTGGAACACTACAACACCTCAGCAACGCAGACGATCTGGAAAACTGGTAGTGACCCTTTTTATTTTGCTCTGATCCTCTGAACTACATAATTAAAAATAAGGTTGCGGTGACCGTTAAATGCTGCTGAGGTGGTGCTGATGTTTATCAGATACATTTTGAAAATAGCCTTCAGAACTTATGATTCACAGTAGTTGTAATGTTTGTGGTCAGTGTAAAAATTTCCATTTCCTCTTTCAAAGTAAAAATAAAGGTGTAGGATTTCACAAGAAAGTGACTTCAGCCAAATGTATTTTTAGCGCACTTTAGAGCAGCCACATCGTGAAGAACACACTTCTTCAAGAACCACTACAAGAGGTGTGAAGGATGTGGCTGCACATCCAACATACTTCAATATATTCAACTTAAATATATTCAACTTCAATATTTAATATATTTTAAGTGTACACCTTATTAAGCATAATCATGGTCAGAAAAAGAGTTTCCTGTATTAAGGAATATAATGTTATATAAGGATATAAATAACCAGAAAAATCCTATTTTGGAAGCAATGGGTTGGGTGGATGGTTAGATGATTAGGCGACCTACACCCCAGAGACCAGGTTCGCTTCCCAATGGAAACAGAAAGCCAACCTCTCTCTCTCTCTCTCTCTCTCTCTCTCTCTCTCTCTCTATATATATATATATAGTCATTTCAAGTTTTTAACCAAGTGAAGTCTGTGCGAGTGAACACACGCACCGACCCCGCTATCATCCATCCCGATGTTTCAATGTAGTTTTGTAGACTTCGTCCCAACCCTACTGAACAGACTGGTTATGCTGTTCCCTGATCGAAGATACCTGATGCTGATACCTGTTCAGAAAAAAAAAACAAGAAAACTGGACTCTGATGGTAACTTGATAAAAGGTAATTCCCTGGCAAATAGGTTTGGTTTAATATATTTATGCTAATGTGTAAAGGGAATACTGCTGGTAAAAAGCACCTTATTTGTTTAAAGTGTTTGCAAACCACATGTTATTACACTTTTGTGTATATAGTAGTACATTTAAATAAAAATTGTGCAATCCACTACTTTAGAATTCATTCAATATTACGCGTAAGAATGTTATGTACTGGTGATGCACAGCTTTATAATCATACAGGTGCTTCATTTTCCCTTGTGAGGAGGTCAGCTTCTCTTTAGCCATCTCCCCAGCAGTATACAACCGATGTCGGAAACCATCAACATAGTCAGCCAAGTTGCTGGGAGGTTCTGATTTCCCAACATCATGCAGCAGAGTGAGCGGCCCACGCACTGTATGCCCAAACACCAGTTCATTGGGGCTAAAACCAGTGCTTTCCTGCACAACCTCTCTGGCGGCTAACAATAACCACGGCAAGCCTTCTTCCCAATTCTGGTTCAACTCAACACATTAACCACGCAACAGAGACATCAGAGCTCCTTGACTCTGACCATGGTATAGGGAGGCCTCGTTATGTTTAACCTGTTGTTGCTTTAAAATTTATGCAAACAAATGAGACGAAAAATTTGAGCCTTAATCACTGAACAATTTTTGAGAACCCAAAGATGGACATGAACTGGGTCAGCGCATTTACCACTGACTTGGCAGTGATTGAACGCAATGGATATGCAGCCGGATATCTGATAACACATCACTGTAAGCAGGTAATTGCTACCAGGTTTAGAACAAGGTAGGGGTCCAACACAGTCAATTATCAGGTGCTCGAACGGCTGCAAGATAACTGGAATAGGACACAGAGGAGCTGGCTTAACACTCTGACTTGGCTTCCCAGTCATCTGACATGTACGACATGTTTTGATATACAGTGACACATCCCTTTTTTATCTATGCCAAAAAAGTAGCACAGAATGTCCTGACTGATCATGAGAAGTCTTCAACACTTCTTCACGAAACTTTGAAGGAACAACAATCTGAAACACAGGATTACCAACAACGTTTTCCTCATGCAAAAACGATTTCCTCACCAACAGTTGGTCTTGTAGCAATTAGCCACTTGCAACACTCTTACCATCAATAGCAGTGAAAACACAATCAAACAGCAAACTCAGAGAGGTATCAGCTCTCTGCTCTGCAACCAAGTCACTGCGAGAAACAGACAAAAGAGAATCAGGAATGAATCTTCTCTGCTCCACCCTGCTCAGATGCAGGCTGAGGTACAGGTTCAGGCTCCAGCTCAGCACGATGCATAGCCCAGAGTTTAGCACTCTCATTGGGTTTTCCTGTAACAGAGGGTGAGGACATTATTATAGGAGGCGGCGGCAGACAACCCACAGTTAAGTGCCTGTCTATGCACTGGAACAGGCAGCATGATTAAACTCATTCCCCGCATCAGCACGTGGTCTCCCAACTCAGTTTCCCCAAGAAAATGGCAACACAGAGCTCACAATATATGAATGAAAAGCTCCAATATCTCTCAAAATTTTTACCGGTATGGTGACATCACTCCCCACTAGCAAAACACAGCCGTCAGACACGAAAACTGAGAAGTCTGATTCCTCTAAGCTATACTTATCTCCAGCATTCACCAGTTGACAGGGAGAAATGACAGGACTGACATGTACAACAGAAGCAGCAAATGCAATAGGCTTAACCGGCAGGCCACTATCGAATTGGAGGCTTATGTGTGTGAGTGTCCATTGGTGTCGGCAGTTTGTATGGCCCAGGGGAAAAAGCTGTTCGTCAGCCTGCTGATGTGAGATTTGGTTGACCTGTAACGTCTGCCCAAGGGCAACAGATCAAACAGGGGGTAGGCAGGGTGTGAGTGGTCTCTTGTGATGGCCTTGGTTCTCCTGAGGCAACAGGATATAGAGATGTTTTACAGGCTGGGCAGAGGGCAGCCAATGATCTTTTGGGCAGTGTTTATAACCCTCTGTACCGCCTTCCTGTCCTCAGCTGTGGAGCCTGCGTACCACACACTTTCACAGTGTGTTAGAACGCTCACCACAGAGGAGTGATAGAAAGCCAGCAGCAGCTTCGTGTCCAGATTGTTCTTCCTGAGGACACTCAGAAAGTGTAGCCGCCGCTGAGCCTTCTTGACCAGGGCCCTGATGTTATGGGTCCAGGAGTAGTCAGCAGAGATGTAAGTGCCCAGAAACCTGAAGGTGGTGACCATTTCCACCCGATCTCCATTTATGAGGAGAGGGGCGTAGTCCTGTCTGTGCTTCCTGAAATCCCAAATTTTCCAAAGTTCTTTTGTTTTAGGGATATTCAGGGTCAGGTTATTGTCTGAGCACCAGCGCGACAGATCCTTCACTTCTGCCCTGTACGCTGTCTCGTCCCCTTCGTGGATACATCCAACTACTGTGGTGTCATCCGCATATTTTATAATGTGGTTTGTTGGGTGGGTTGGAGAACAGTCATAGGTGTACAGGGAGTATAGCAGAGGGCTCAGAACGCAGCCTTGTGGGGAACCAGTAATGAGTATGAGTGTGGAGGAGTGGTGGGGGCCTAGTCTCACAGATTGTGGGCGGCTCAACAGAAAGTTTTTAACCCAGATACAGGTGGGGAGAGTAATCTGTAGCTGTATCAGTTTACTGTAAAGAATGTCCAGAATGATTGTTTTAAACGCTGAGCTGTAGTCCACGAAGAGCATCCTCACATAGCTCCTCTTGTTTTCCAGATGGCTAAGCGCTGTGTGGAGTGTGAGGGCGATGGCATCCTCTCTGGGGGTCGAATGAAGGAGGGAGACAGTCTCTGATGTGCTGGGAGACTGATCGCTCGAGGCACTTCATAATTACCGACGTCAACGCGATGGGTCTGTAATCGTTCAGGCTGTCTATGGCAGTTTTTTTGGCAATGGGGATGATGGTAGAGGCCTTCAGATATGTGGGGACGGAAGCATGTATCAGGGAGAGATTGAAGAGTTTAGTGAGGATCCCTGTCAACTGGTCTGCACATGCTTTAACCACCACCCCCGAGATGGCGTCGGGACGAGCAGCTTTCCTGGGGTTCACTGCTCTCAGGTTCTTCTTCACCTCATGCTCCTGAATAGAAAGAGGTGGAGTGCTAGAGCCAGGGGGAGACAGTGACTGCAGGTATGTGGTGGTGATCTCTGTAACCGGGCAAAGAAGCTGTTTAGCTCCTCTGCCAGGGTGCTGCTGCTAGAAGATGTGAGAGGGGAGCGGCCTTTGTAGTTGGTTAGGGCCTGAATACCCTTCCGTATCTGTCGCGGGTTGTGGTCGATCAGACGTCCCTCTACTTTCCTCTTATAGGAGTCCTTGGCCTGTTTAATGCCCCTCCTCAGGTCAGCTCTGGCGAGATATGAGTGTTATCTATCTTCCCATCTAACTTCTGGCAAGAAAGTGGATTTGTATTTAAAAATGTCATACTTTTCCTTTAAAGGAGCTATATGTAGTTTTTTAAAGGAAACAAATCACTTTTTTATTACCTGTGGGTTTGGGGTTGTATTCTCACATAAAAATTATCCACTTACTGTGTTTAATCATTTAAAAATCATTTAAAATGGCTCTCTTCAATGTGAGATCACTTTCAAGTAAGACTTTTATCTTAAATGATTTTATCTTGTCTGCAAATCTAGATTTTATGTTTTTAACTGAATCCTGGTTGCAAATGAATGACTATAGCCAGCTAGCTGAACTGTGTCCGCCTCAATATGATTGCTTTAGTCAACCGAGGGTCAGTGGTCGTGGTGGTGGGCTAGTGAGCGTGTATAGGAAAAACTTTAAATGTCATCAAGTACGCTGTGATGAATTTAACTCCTTTGAAGTTCTCACTCTTAAAGTTGGAGGGCTGCAACCTATCATATTTGTTATAATTTATCGCCCCCCAAAACTGCCTGGAGGATTTTTATCAGGACTTCCTGAATTTTTATCTACTCTGGTTTTAAATTATGACAGAATTGTTCTTTGTGGCGATTTTAATATTCATGTTGATGACCCCACCAATAATAATAATAATAATAATAATAAATCCTTATTTGTAGAGCACTTTTCAAAAACAAGTTACAAAGTGCTTTAACAAGTGTAAAGAATAATACAAAAAAAAGATAAGAGCATGAAAATTTAATATAAAATTAGTAAAATACAATAAAATAAAAGGGATAAAATAAAGTCAAATAAGATCGGGAAAAGCTCTCCTATAAAAGTATGTTTTAAGAAGGGACTTAAAAGAGTTCACTGACTCAGCCGACCTGATTTCCTCGGGCAGGCTGTTCCAGAGCCTCGGGGCCCTGACAGCAAACGCTCTGTCCCCTTTAGTTTTCAGTCGAGACTCTGGAACAGACAACAGACCTCTGCCCGAGGATCTCAAGGTACGTGCTGGTGCGTATGGGACTAAAAGGTCAGAAATATAACAAGGCGAGAGGCCATGAAGAGCTTTAAAAGTGATCAATAGAATTTTAAAGTCAATTCTAAAACATACTGGGAGCCAGTGTAATGAAGCTAAAATAGGAGTAATGTGGTCATATTTCTTTGTTCTGGTTAAAAGCCTGGCAGCTGAGTTCTGGACAGTCTGGAGTCGATCAATAGATTTTTGGGTTAAACAGGTGAAAAGGCTGTTGCAATAATCCAGGCGTGATGAGATGAAGGCGTGTAAAATGGTCTCGGTGTCCTTAAAAGTTAACATAGATCGAATTTTAGCTATATTTCTAAGTTGATAAAAACATGATTGAACAAGCTTTGTGGTGTGCTGCTCGAAATTTAAATTACTATCAAACCAAACACCAAGGTTCTTTGCCACAGGCTTAATGTGATTTACTAGGGAACCAGCAGATGGCAGTATTTGATTTGCCATCTGCTGGGACCCGATGACCAGGATTTCTGTTTTGTCTGAGTTCAGCTGGAGGAAATTATTTGACATCCATTTTTTAACTTCACAAAGGCAGTTGTTAAGTGAACTCAGCATTCCAGGGTCTGTGGATCTGACGGGCAAGTATATTTGTGTGTCATCAGCATAAATATGAAAAGAAATGCCATGTTTATGGATAATATGTCCAAGGGGAAGCAGATACAAGGAAAACAAAATGGGTCCTAAGACCGACCCCTGAGGCACACCATATTTAACTGGACAGAATGAAGAGACATCTTAATCTTAATGCAACTGACTTTTTAAATATGGCCACTTCTTCTAACTTCAAACAACATGTCAAAGGGCAAACACATAACCGTGGTCATACACTGGACTTGGTTTTTACCCTGGGTGTCAGCATTTCCTCTGTGGAATTAGTGGACATGACCATATCTGACCACAGATGTATTGTTTTTAGCTGCGATTCGCCTGTTACTCATGCCGCCTCACCAAGCTCCGTGTGTTGTCGCATCTTTAATGAACAAAGTGTTTCAAAGTTTTGCGCATTCTTTCAGAGCCAAAGCCAACACCTGTCTGATTCCAACACCAACAATCTGGTCGATCACTTCAATCATATCTGCTTGTCGTCACTAAATATTACTGCTCCTCTAAAGGTTAGGCCTACGTCTAAAGCTAGTAAGCAACCCTGGATAAATGACAGCATTCGCAGTCTAAAAAGGGAATGCAGGAAAGCAGAGCGCAGATGGAAAAAATCCAGTCTCCAAGTCCATTACCTCAGTCTGAAGGATTTATTAATTAACTACAATAACATGGTTAAGGATGCGAGAACACACTATTTTTCTGAACTCATTACTACACATAAACACAATCCCAGGTTTCTGTTTAAGACTGTGGATCAGCTGGTAAACCCAACCCCTCCTTGTGCCTCAGCTGGAAGTAATGATGACTGTGAATTGTTTTTATCTTATTTTACCAATAAGGTGGTGTCAATCAGAGCCTCTATTACCCCCGTGGCCTCTTACTCAGAGGTCCCTCAACAGCAACAACAGAGTTTTAACCAGTTTTATCCCATCGACTTGTCTGAGCTTTTAAAAACAGTATCACAAATGAGAGTGTCCTCCAGCCCACTTGATGTAATACCTACAAGATTTTTACTGAAAGTAATGGATTCTGTTGGGCCCCATTTGATCTCTGTTTTCAACAGCTCCCTATCTACTGGTTGTGTCCCTGATTATTTTAAAACGGCTTGCGTGAACCCACTTTTAAAGAAACCTGGTTTAGATCCCTCCCTCCCACATAATTTTAGACCAATTTCAAAACTGCCTTTTATTGCAAAGATTCTAGAAAGAATTGTGTCCAAACAGCTGCTCACTGTGCTGGAAAATAACAAATTATTTGAAAAGTTTCAGTCTGGTTTTAGGAAGTACCACAGCACTGAGACTGCCCTGCTTAAAGTCACCAATGACCTTTTAATGTCTGCTGATGAAGGCATGTGCTCAGTCCTTGTACTCCTGGACCTTAGCGCTGCTTTTGACACCATTGATCACAACATCATGTTAGACAGACTGAGGCACTGGGTGGGGATCTCTGGTACTGCTCTAGAATGGTTTTCATCCTACCTGTCAAATAGGAAGTTTTGCGTGTCTGTAAACAACTATGTCTCTTCGTTCTGTCCAGTTAAATATGGTGTGCCTCAGGGGTCGGTCTTAGGACCCATTTTGTTTTCCTTGTATCTGCTTCCCCTTGGACATATTATCCATAAACATGGCATTTCTTTTCATATTTATGCTGATGACACACAATATACTTGCCCGTCAGATCCTCAGACCCTGAATTGCTGAGTTCACTTAACAACTGCCTTTGTGAAGTTAAAAAATGGATGTCAAATAATTTCCTCCAGCTGAACTCAGACAAAACAGAAATCCTGGTCATCGGGTCTCAGCAGATGGCAAATCAAATACTGCCATCTGCTGGTTCGCTAGTAAATCACATTAAGCCTGTGGCAAAGAACCTTGGTGTTTGGTTTGATAGTAATTTAAATTTCGAGCAGCACACCACAAAGCTTGTTCAATCATGTTTTTATCAACTTAGAAATATAGCTAAAATTCGATCTATGTTAACTTTTAAGGACACCGAACCATTTTACACGCCTTCATCTCATCACGCCTGGATTATTGCAACAGCCTTTTCACCTGTTTAACCCAAAAATCTATTGATCGACTCCAGACTGTCCAGAACTCAGCTGCCAGGCTTTTAACCAGAACAAAGAAATATGACCACATTACTCCTATTTTAGCTTCATTACACTGGCTCCCAGTATGTTTTAGAATTGACTTTAAAATTCTATTGATCACTTTTAAAGCTCTTCATGGCCTCTCGCCTTGTTATATTTCTGACCTTTTAGTCCCATACGCACCAGCACGTACCTTGAGATCCTCGGGCAGAGGTCTGTTGTCTGTTCCAGAGTCTCGACTGAAAACTAAAGGGGACAGAGCGTTTGCTGTCAGGGCCCTGAGGCTCTGGAACAGCCTGCCCGAGGAAATCAGGTCAGCTGAGTCAGTGAACTCTTTTAAGTCCCTTCTTAAAACATACTTTTATAGGAGAGCTTTTCCTGATCTTATTTGACTTTATTTTATCCCTTTTATTTTATTGTATTTTACTAATTTTATATTAAATTTTCATGCTCTTATCTTTTTTTTTTGTATTATTCTTTACACTTGTTAAAGCACTTTGTAACTTGTTTTTGAAAAGTGCTCTACAAATAAGGATTATTATTATTATTTTTTCTGTTAACTCTGATGGCCAGTGTGCCTAATCCTACGTGAAGGGTTAGCTAACGGTAGCATGTATCTGCAGCTGTTAGCTTCGTAACGTTCAGTTTAGACTTCATCTGTCTACTATGTGACCCACATAGTATAAAATGCAACATAACGGTGCAGGACAACAACACAGTTGAAGACCCATTCACTACAACGTTATTTGCTGCGGTATAACTGTTACAAAGTGTGGTAATGATCGCATCTATAATATTCAGTCCAGCTCACTAATCCAATATATTTAGTTGTGCTGACATTGCTGAGCCTCTGGTGAAAGATACAGTTACTGGCAAGCTGTCTTCCGGTGTTTCGGTCCCTGTGTCAGATTCTGCTCGCTCACTAAAATGCTTCAATATGTTAGACACACAGTCTTAAGATGCATACACAGACATATCTCTTCTATTTCACTAGCTTTTATTTGAGTTTCTCAAAGAGGATTCTCTGATTAGCCTTACCGAAAAGCTAAAAGTTTACACACACAAGTTCTCACACAGCTGTGATTGGAGCGTTGAGAGGAAATGACAGGACTCACGATTGGTCGGTTGTACAAATCTGGAACAACTGAAGTGTCCTGTATAAATCTGGATGTCATTTGTGTTTGATGGATCTATATCTTGCAATATTGTATAAACAAGCACTTCAATAAACTCATGTACTTGCATAAAACATGCCGATCTAGTGTACATATACACAGTAACACACATACATGCATACAGAGACAATGCACACATTCTGGTTCACAGCTTTGACTGAGACCTTCTCCATAGACACTGGCTGAGAGGCTTTGCTAGGTGCTGAAAGGACAATTACTTGTTATGACTTTCAGTCATAGATTTTCATCTATCAAACAGTGTGGATGTACCTCGAGGTGATGCTGTCCCAGTCTCCTGCTGGTCAGTCTGAGAAATCTGTGTTGGTGGGAGGCTGATGGGTCTGATGTTGAAAAAACAGAGATGTGAACAACAAAAACGTGCAGAAAACCTGGTGAGAGAAATTAATGTACAGACTGTGTCTGTGTGTGAGCTGAACTGTTTTACATTTACATTCATCCGTGTTCACTGGGGATTTACATCAGCAGCTGTTAGTGAAAACTTTCTTCAGACCTGGAGAGACATGAACAAACATTTTCATTCTCAGTTATTTTCATTTTATTTTAAATGTAAACTCACCATCTGTGACAATGATCTCAAACTCCCAGTAGGAATCTGGTGATAAACGTCTTTCCAGACCACACCTGTACCGTCCTGAGTCAGACTCGGTCAGCTGTGTGATGCTCACATACACAGATACATCTGTCAGAGATCGTTGTGTATATCTGATGCTGTATCTGCCTCTCTCAGCTGTGTAACCAGTTGTTTCAACAAGAATGTCTTTCTCTTCACATTCTTCCTTGCAGAAGTACTTCCTGCTTCCAAAGAAAATAAAGGAGGATCCAACTACAATATTTCCTCCAGCTCTTGTATAGAGGAATTGTTCTTCAGGAGGACTTCCATCCAGCAGTGCTGTTGAAAAGATGAACAATCAATAGTTACTATCTGTACTTAACATGATGCAGTCTGATCACAATAATTACAGTTTCAAATGTGATCCCCAGTTACACTGGGAGCTGCCCAGTTCTACCAGTCTGTGACTGATTTGGATTCTTCCAGCAAAGATTCAGAGCATCATAATCTCAGCCTCTGCACACAATATGATCATTGATCTTTGAATATGAAAAAGTGGTCTAAATATTCTGTGATGGCAGGTGAACACATGGAAAAATACTCGTAAATAACTGCACCTGTTAATAGAAACATTCACTTCAGAGTCACAAACTTTCACACTGATGTCACGAACCCCCGGTCATGACCCTGACCTGCCTGTTGGTATTTGTGTGATTGTAGTTTTTGAGTTCTTTTTCCCTTTGGTTTGTGGTGTGCTTGGTGTGTTTTGTTTTTTTGTCTGTCTCTGCGTCTGCTCCCTCCCTCATGCTCTGGGGCTGCTGGTGGGCGTGGTCACCTGAGCTCCAGTCAACTCACCTGCGACGCATCCTGTTAATTAGCACACCGGTGTTTCATCCTGCAATCAACTCACCTTTAAAGACCAGCTCAACCTTTCAGTCCCTGCCGGATTGTTGTACCATACAGTATGAACACGCCAGCCTGTTTTCTGTCTGAATCCTTGTGCTGAATGCTAACCACAGAATACCTGCCAGTTCATGGAATTGGATTCACTCCCGTGACACGGGACCCTTTGAGCTTAGGAGCCTGGACCTCATGACTGTCGGAACGCCCCCCCCCCTCACTTGAAACAATAAGTTTGTAAGTCTATGGTCCACCAATACTCAAATTAACTATTGTGTGGATGTTTTTAAATGAGCATTAAAGTAAATCAACCAGTGAACAGTGAAGCTTTTCTTCAGACAGGAAAGAAACATTTTCATGACTTTTAGTAGAAACTCACCATCTACAACAATGATTTCAAACTCTGTATTAAATCCACCTAAACCACACCTGTACCGTCCCGAGTCAGACTTGGTCAGCTGTATGATGCTCACAAAAACATATTTAGAATATAAAGAATATCCTTCTTATGTGATGCTGTATCTGCCTCTCTGATCTCTGACACCAGTTGTGTGAATGAGGATGTCCTCTGGTTTACATTCTCTCTTGCAAAAGAACATCAGTTCCTGTATGGACAGATGGGATCTGGGCATTGGTGAGACCAGTGTTTCCATCCTGCAGAGCTGTTGAAAAGATGAACAACAATAGTTACTGTCTGAACGTCCTGTAAGATGCTGCAGTCTGATCACAACATTTGCTGCTTCACATTTACCGTAAAACTTCAATTAATAGCCGAGTCCCAAATAGCCGTCTATCCCGTTTACTGGCCTGGTGTGGATAAACATTTTGACAAATAAACGCAGGTCTCCACTAGACCCCTGGTTTGGTTTTTACAGTTCTAGTTCTTTGGATGTTTAAAACCTCTTAAACCCTGTTGGGTCACCCGCTTGAGCTGCTTCTAAGCTGCTTAGATCGTTAATACAAATACTAATGTTTGAAAGTATAATCAATGTGTCAGTATGGACACGCTACGCATCCTTAGATCGGTTAGATTCTCCACAATTCAATCGTTCAGTTCATTTAACGGAAACAATGAGCCAAAGTCTAATTCCTATAGATTTACCAGTGCAGCCGGCATGGTACAAGAGAAAAAAATTCAGACTCCTATTACCTTTAAAGCGCTCGTTAAGTCCAAATGTGTCCATTCCTTTATTATTAAGTGCCTTTAGCCTTTAAGGGTCCACCAATCAAAAGAATCAAAACAGCTTTCCTAAAAAATAAGTCCATTGCTTTCTATCTGCTAGCTTCTGCCACACTTCTCTCATCCTGCACTGTGTTGTTTGGTATGTTTTGTTTTCGTTACATTGCTGCCTACAAAAAAGTGCATAAGCCATCTGTCGGGGCTAGATCAAACTAATTTGATATATTTTTTATACAAGTAATACCCATACTTTTTGAAATACATAAACTGTTTTCATAGTAGTTTCAGTTTTGTGCAAAAGAAATTAAAGGCCTTTCCCATATGGACGTCTGTCCCAAATATAGGCAGGGTCAATTCTGTGATTTTAGCAAAAGCCCGGGCTATTTGTTGAAGCCAATTTCTTGTTTTTAATTATTTTATAATTTAGATTTATTTTGAGAATAGTCTTTTGGATTTATTGATTGCTCATGTATTTAGCTGTTCTGATTAACTTAGGCAGCTGTGGAAAGAGGAAGAGGTGTATCTGAAGAGGTATTTTGGGTCTGAACCTACGGGCAGAAACTAAAGTGCGAGGAACGACACAGTCTTTGACCTCATTTAGTTTGACAGTATTTTTGTTGTTCGATTTGTTTTAAATAAATAATCAAAGGAAATGAGCGACTCAAGACTTATATTTTGATCACTTAAATGTTTTTTTTTATTTATATAGCGCCAAATCACAACAACAGTTATCTCACAGCGCTTTTCATAAAAGAGCAGGTCTAGACCGTACTCTATGATATTTACAGAAGCCCAACAGTTCCCACCAAGAGCAAGCACTAGGCGACAGAGGCAAGGAAAAACTTCCTTTAAGAGGCAGAAACCTTAGGCCCCAGAAAAATAACTTCAGTTTTATCTGAGTTTAACATTAGAAAATTACAGGTCATCCAGGTTTTAACATCCTGAAGGCACATTTGAAGTTTAGCTAACTGAGTTTCATCTGGCTTGATCGATAGATATAACTGAGTATCATCTGCATAACAATGAAAGCTTAGGGAATATTTCCTGATAATATTGCCTAAAGGAAACATAAAGTGAAGAGGATTGGTCCAAGGACAGATCCTTGAGGAACTCCATGACTAACTTTGGCATGCATGGAGGACTCATCGTTAACATGTACAAACTGAAATCGATCTGATAAATAGGACTTAAACCAGCTTAGAGTGGTTCCTTTAATGCCAATGAAATGTTCCAGTCTCTGCAATAGGATCTGATGGTCAATGGTATCAAATGCAGCACTAAGATTTAATAAAACCAGTACAGAGACAAGTCCTTTGTCTGATGCAATAAGGAGGTCGTTAGTAATTTTCACCAGAGCTGTCTCTGTGCTTTGATGAGCTCTAAATCCTGACTGAAAATCAGGATGTGAGAGTCAAACGTAGAGCCCTGTAACCTGGCACAGCGGTTTTAAATTAAATAAAGACACTGTTAATCAAAGTTTTATGGTACAGAGTCACACTGGGAGTTTCCCAGTTCAACCAGTCTGTCACTGAGGATCATAGACTGGCTCTGCAAGTGAATGTCACTGTTGACATCTCTGTCCTTCTTTTAGCCGTCATCTTTTATACTTCCCTACATAAATAAAGGTTTCAATCAATCAAATGTAAATTATAAAAGTAACTGCCTAGTTTTGCTGCTGTTATGGTTTTTGATATGTTTTCTCTCCCCTCCTTTCTTCCCTTTTCTCTTTTCATACAACAATGAGTCATAAAAATGTATAACTGTACAATAATGAAACACATGTAAAACTATTACATAGGTTTTTATTTCAGTAATTAACAATCATTTTTCTGTCTGTCACACACCAAGACACAAAAATATATCAGAGTATACAAAAGAACAAATAGTAACATAGCACCAACAAAACACTATGAAATACTATTTCTTTTTCTTCTTTTACAATTTTCAACCACAAACCACAAGAGCTCACTTTCAACATTATCTTATTTTACAGTCTTTCTTCCCATTAACACTCTCCTGTGGTTTGAATCCTACCTCTTGTGGCACTCCTACAATGTATTGTGGCAAGGACAATTATTTCTCCCACTGCCTTTTTGTTAACTCTTACCTCTTTCCCTAGGTTTTTACCCCATTGATGTGATGTGCTATTAGCTCTTGCTGTATTTATTGCTACTCTTACTACTATGTATTGTCAGTTGTAGCTGTAATTCATGCTCTGATGCTTCTTTGTTGTTCCTCAAATGTAAGTCGCTTTGAATAAAAGCGTCTGCCAAATGAGTAAATGTAAAAAAAACACAGAACTGACTGGCTGTTGTTACATCCGAACTTTTGCAGTAATTGTTAGATGTGTACCACAGATGTTTTAATGTGATTTAAATCAGTTTTTATTTATCTAAGTTCTTAAATCAGTGCAGTTTTGTTTGTTTTTGTCTGTAGGTTGTGATAACTTTTTGAAAAATGTACTACAGTTATTTCAAATGTTGTGAAGCTACAACAAAGTCCACTAACAGTCAGGGTAAAGAAAGTGTCACCATAAAAATACAACAAAAAGCAACAAAATTGCACTTTCTTACCTTTGAAAATGAGTAAAGCTGCAACAATTTATTAATTCATGGCAACTATTTTGATAATCAATTAAATATTTTAGTGATTTTTACAAACAAATGCCGGTGCTGGTTCCAGCTTTTCAAATGTTGGGATTTGACTCTTTTCTTAATATATGATAATTAGCTATACATTTTTAGATTTTGGGAAATTTTAATGGACATTTCTCATTATTTCTCAATATTTCATATTTTTCTGACATTTTATTGACAAAACAATGAATGGATTTGTATATGAACTTTTTGTTTCTGTAAAGTTATTGTCAGCTGTACCTTCATTTTAAAGTAAACTGATAATAAAGTAACTGTGTAAGATTATGCCCTTCATTTTCCTTCGTTTATTTTGAGGAAGTAAAATAAAGAACTTGTATTAGACTATCCATTAAAGTGCCTCTGATTATCATATTTAACCATATAAAGGATTCATGAGAAACTGTTACACTACTGACCAACACGTAAAATAAAGAAATATGATATTATAATGAGAGAGAGAGAGAGAGAAATCCAAAGTGAATACTCACAGAGGAAGAAGAAGCAGAAGTGTGACGGACTTTCATGTTGAGACTCTGGTGGTTTACTGCTGACTCTCTGACTTTCTTCACTGACAAACCAGGAACTTCTAACTTCTTTAAATGATGTAGTCCCTCCTCCAAACACAACACACACAGCTCTACTGTATAATCTGTAGGCTTATGTAAAAACATGTCATTAAAAGTTATTGTTAGTGAATTCATTGACACAGAGATGAACCCCTATGGTCTTCAGTATGTCTATACCATCCAAAATTATACATCTTATTGATCCATTTTGTTCATTATTGAGTCTAAAATGTCTTGTTTTCTTAGCCTCTGTCTCATCCATTACTATCATGGGATCTAAAACTTGTTGGGTATTATCCCGTACGCACAAAGGCCACTTGACAACAAAGTGCCTCATGTAATCAAATTAAAAATACCAGTTGTTAATTTACACATAGCTACCACAAAAATATTGATCCAACTTTTCTGTTTTAAACATCCTAAATACATAAAACATTGTTATGTTTCTGTCGTCTACATTGCTAGGCAACATCTAGTTAAACAGGAAGCGGCTCATAAGGCAGAAATAACTCACCAAGCTCTTTAGCTCATCGTCAATGTTACTATCTTTACGTCCAGAAGTGGACTAAGCCTTGGCTTTGGCAGATATGTGGATGAGACACTGGAGATGGGAAGGGATACACATTGGTACGCCTGACAAGTTGCTGTGGTAGCGACATGCCCTAAAGCATACCCTGCTTTATCATCTACTATCCTCTAAATGGGACCACAATTTTAAAATGAACATCCAGCTGTATTTCGGCCGAAATGAGTTTCCTCAGGCGGGTGGCTGGTGTCTCCCTTAGAGATAGGGTGAGAAGCTTGGCCATCCGCAAAGAGCTCAGAGTAGAGCCGCTGCTCCTTTGCGTTGAATGGGGCCAGTTGAGGTGGTTTGGGCATCTGGTAAGGATGCCTCCCGGACGCCTCCATAGGGAGGTGTTCCAGGCATGTCCAGCTGGGAGGAGGCCTCGGGGAAGACCCAGGACTAGGTGGAGAGATTATGTCTCTACACTGGCATGGGAACGCCTCGGGATCCCCCAGTCAGAGCTGGTTAATATGGTTCGGGAAAGAGAAGTTTGGATGGATCCTGCTGTATTAAAAAAGCAGTATAGAAAAACTAGTAACTATAGTTTGAAGTAAAAAGTACTAAATATTCATATGAAATGCAACATATTAAAAGTATAATGTAGCATAAATGAAATACTCAAGTAAAGAACAAGTATGTAAAAATGTTTTTATTTCTAGGCTACATAATTAGATGACTAATATTAAATTACCATTAAATCAGCCATAAAAACATTTTGATTAGACCGTGAGAAAATGAATGTACATATTGAGATTCTTAGCTATTCTGATATATCTACTGATTATACAAACATAATCATCACTGACCTATTCTTTGAGTCTCGTGGAAGTGATACTGTAAAGTGTATTCTAAAGACTCCTAAAGGATTTGAGTCCAGCTGTGGTTTTCTTGAGACTTTCAGATGAAACTTAACATCGTCTTGTTGTTTTGGAGCCGTTTCTTCAGCTAATATTCAGTTCTGTCACTCAGGAAATGCAGGATTGGACCTATGTACAGACAGAAGTGGCAGCACTGAAAAGGTGTGTTTGACTATGCGGAAAATCGCGTTGCTGATTTAGCATAATGCATGCTGGATTTGACATGGCATGCTGGTTTGAAATTTTGTCCGACTTTTGCCAGCTCTACAAAACATCATCATGGCACATGACATTAAAACCTAATGAGCATGGCGGATGAAGTTTTCTGAGTCTGGTCACCACAGTCGTTTTTGTCCGGTGTTCTGTCAATTTATGCTACCTATTGATGTGCGTCGGTGACAACACTATGGGAACGCCTCTGGGCGTGGCAGGGCTAAAACATGAATGGAACTACTCCAATCCTATTGGTGTTGCTAGAACGGTAGCGTGTGACGGCGTAACTGGAGGCGTATATAAGCACGCCGGCACACAGGACACATTAGCCTTTTTCTATTCAGCAGGCACTCTGGCATGTTTGAAGACCAAAGCTACAGCAAAAACCGAAGAACCTCTTACCTGGAAGGAAGTCAGATGGCAGACAGAGAGATGGCTGGTGAACGATTCAGGCAGTGTGTCTTTCCATGCCCGTGCTACATCACAGCTGGGGACACTCATGCCCTGTGTTTCCTGTCTGGGGATGCCGCATGCCTCTCGAGGGGGCTGCTTGTGGCCATTGCGAGGCCCTGCCCCTTAGGGTGCTGAGGTCCCGTGCGGCTCTCTTTTCCGAAGACGACCGGAGGCGCTCTCCCCATGGCTCGCGCCTGGCAGTCGCTGCGGCGGCTTCGGTCATGGGGCGCCCGAGGTTTTTTCCCGTTACTCGTCTGCTGACTCCGCCTCCTCTCTTCCCCGTTCGGGAGTCCGTTCTCGGCTTCTCCTGCCTTGGGGGGAGGAAGAGCTCGCGAGCTATCTTTCTCCCACCCTCGCTTCGTTCCTTCAGATGTCGGTGCTCCCCACCAAGCTGTGTCGGACGAAACATCTGCTTTGGTGGGCAAGGCCTACATGGCAGCGGGTCGAGCTGGTGCAAGCCTGCACACTATGGCTTGGAGGCGTACCAGGCCGATCTTCTCAAGACTATGACCTAGGGGGAGGTCCCTCTGAGGAGGACCTGACTGAGCTCCGTAGAGCTACGGACTTAAATGCTCCGTCATCTGTGGCTCAACCTCTCAGGAAGGAGATGGCTTTTCTCCTGGATGTGCCCCTCTCTCCTACTGGCCTGTTTGGTGAGGTGGCGGATGCTGTCATCAGCAGGTTTCAGCACACTGGAACGCAGGGAGAGGCGTTTGAGCAATATCTCCCCCGCCGGTCTGGGTCCAGGACGGCGACAGCTGAAGAGAGACAATCTGGGCCCTCGTCTAGCTCCTACCGCCGGAGCCAGAAGTGAAGCGTTGCTTCCCGTAGTCCCCCTCAACAAAACCGGGATGCGAGGCGGCGCTCTGGCCCCGCTGAGGCTCCAGGGCATCCGCATATTAAACTACATAGACGACTGGCTCATCTTGGCTCAGTCTTGGGAGTTAGTGGTTCGGCATTGAGGTGTCGTCCTCGCCCACCTTCGGCGTTTGTCCATTTTGTCCTGAATGGATGTACGGCCTGAAGTGGAATGTGTGTGTTTGCCACCTGGTGCAGAGAACGAGCAGTGGACCCAGTTACCTGCCCGGTGATCATGGTACTGGAGTTCCTCCAGGACCATTTCGCTGCTGGCCTTTCCCCATCCACACTCAAGGTATATGTGGCTGCCGTGGCAGCGTTCCACACCCCTCTGAGGGATGGGCCTCTGGGGAGGCTTCTACTGGTCGTGCGCTTCCTCCGAGGAGGATGAGACCCATGACTCGTTCCAGGCTTCCCACCTTGGACCTGCCGGTGGTTCTCGAAGCGCTGGCTGAGGCCCCCTTCGAACCCCTGGAGTCGGCTGAGGCCAAGCACCTGACCCTTAAGATGGCCTTTCTTCTCGCTATCACCTCTCTGAGGAGGGTGGGGGATCTCCAGGCACTTTCGGTGTCTCCGCAATGCCTGGAGTTTGCCCCGGGGAGGTTCAGAGCCATCCTGCACCCCTGTCTGGGCTATGTCCCCTAAGGTTGGCAGGGTCCACGGTGCTGCAGGCGTTTCATCCCCCACCTCATGTGATGGCGGAGGACGGGAGACTTCATCTGATCTATTTACACACTGAGGTCTTCCAGTCTTGGAGTAGTTTCATTCATGTTTCAGCCCTGCCACGCCCAGAGGCGTTCCCATAGTGTCATCACCGACGCAGTGTCTCGTTCCCCTTCTCGGGGAATAAGACAGTGGCTGATTGTCAACAACATTTAAAAAAAAATCATTAGTCTTTCAGAATATGCTACCCCTGATATCTTTCTCTGGCATAATATAGTATTTCAACATGCTGCCCATCTCCTTACAGTACACATGGAGTGAGTAGTGGTGCAATATAAAATGATTCTGTAGTGGGAGCATTATTTGACAGGGGATATTGATCTATCAGAATGGGCTACCCCTGAAATGATAATATAATCCAAAAAACAGAAGATGTCATAATACTGTGAGAGTTATAACTTTATGGGATTGGAAAAAGGAAAATGTAAGGTAGCATTTTTAGACAAGGCTGCATCAAGTTGAAACCACCTTTGGCCTGCACCGGTAGGAAGTGAACCACGGCCATGGTACTGAAACCTGGGGTTAACCCGATGGATGGATGGATGGATGTATGTATGTATGTATGTATGTATGTATGTATGCAGTGAGGAAAATAAGTATTTGAACACCCTGCTATTTTGCAAGTTCTCCCACTGTGAGAGACATAATCTAAAAAAAAAAATCCAGAAATCACAATGTATGATTTTTTAACCATTTATTTGTATGATACAGCTGCAAATAAGTATTTGAACACCTGAGAAAATCAATGTTAATATTTGGTACAGTAGCCTTTGTTTGCAATTACAGAGATCAAACGTTTCCTGTAGTTTTTCACCAGGTTTGCACACACTACAGGAGGGATTTTGGCCCACTCCTCCACAGAGATCTTCTCTAGATCAGTCAGGTTTCTGGGCTGTCGCTGAGAATATATATATATATATATAGTTTCAAATGACATGTAGGCTACAGACTGCATAATTGGCACTATTGTTACTAAACAGCACCATAAAGCAGGTTAGTGCTGAATGCTCTGGTTGATATTGCAGCCTAATAATTTAATAATTTCACGTCAGCAGCTGTTTGCACTGTTTTGTCACGATTATAGGAGTTACATTGGTGTGATGCATGTATCGACTCTGACAATATCTGAATAATCATGTAGACAAATCATCCACCTCCACTCAACCCCACTAATGATTTTCTCAGACTTATCCTACCTCTACCAGCCCTTAGGCTATAACTTTCCAGGTGATTTCATTATTGTGTTGATGTATTAGTGTTTTGTCTAACGGTTTACTTTTATGATTAGAGAGGTTGCTATCAGTCATTTTAAACGTTTCCATGGGCGCAATAATGTCACAGCACATATATGCAGCAAAACTAAAAACTGTAGTTATGAACTTGACAGGACAGACAGAGGAAACAGAATTCTACATCCAAAACAATTTAGAGGCACTAATGGAGCAATCGAGTTAATGGAGAAATTATGGTA